TTTCAAACCATATGCAGAACAGATCATTCAGGAGGCTGGACTTGATGAAGAAATATATGTCATCAAATTTGGAGACTTGTTAACAACCTGTGTTATGCAGATGACACAACCTTGCTCACTGAAACTGAGAAGAACTTGAAGTGTTTGTTGCAGAAGGTCAAGCCTCCTTGACCATCAATATGAATTGAACCCCAACATCCAGAAAACAAAGATCCTATTGAACCAATTGACAGTATCATGATAGAAGAGATTGTTAACAATTAAATCTTGCTTGGATCCACAATCAACAGCCTTGGCCCTAGCAGTCAGGAAATCAAAAGATGAGTTGCATTGGGAAGGTCCACTGTCAGGGACCTCTCCAGAGTGCTAAAGAGCAGCAATGTCAGTCTAGAGACTAAGGCCGACCTCGTCCAAGCCATGGCCTTCTCAACTGCTTGCTATGAATCTGAGAGCTGGGCAATGACTAAGGATGACAGAGAAAGAAGTGATGTCTTTGAACTGTGATGCTGGAGAAGAATACTGGACATGGACTGCCAAGAGAACAAACATCTATCCTGCAGAAAGTGAAACCAGGTTGCTCTTTGGAGGCAAGGATTTTGAAGATATCCATCTCATATACTTTAGGCATGTTACCAAAAGAGACCAGTCCTTGGAGAAGGACAACATGATTGGAAAAATATAGGGTCAGTGCAGGAAAGGGGGACTCTGGATGGGATGGTTGACACAGTAACTGTGCTAATGTTGATACAACCCGAAATGGTGAGGTTGGCTCAGGACAGGCCAAGGTTCAGAGTCATTGTTCATAGGGTTGCTATCACTTGCAGTAGACTCAGTGGCACATAACAATAACAACCCAGGAACTCCACAGGAGAAAGATGGGTAATCTCTTCACATTAAGATTCACAGCCACAAAAACCCAATGGAGGGTGACTGTAAATTACAACAAACTCAATGATAGTGAGTTGGGGCTTTTTGTTGTTGTTATTGTTTTCTTTAGATGATCTATTAGGCCAGGAATGGTTAGAATGCCATCACATTCATTGCCAAAAAGAATATTTCAAGATCTATCCTAATATTCAATTAGTATAAGGACAATATCCATGTGCATGCAAGAAAGACCAATTAATATGACTATTATTCAAATGTTTGCACAAAACGTTAAGGCCAAAAACGAAGATACTGAAGAATACTATCATTTTTATGATACTATTAAGTCTAAAGTTGACCAAACATAAATTAAGATGCATTGATATCGAATTACAAAGTGAGTAGAATGCAAATGTTGGAAACAAAGAAGGACCAGTAGTTGGAAAACATGGCTTTGGTGATCGAAATGACATGAGTCAGCATGACAGAATTTCACATGACTAACAAATTGTCCATCGCAAATACCTTTTCCAACATGTAATTATAAGTCGTTCCAATAACATCAGTACTAGAATAGCCATCAAAATACAAGGGCAAAAAATGCCCTCAATTTTTAATCTATCAAACTAGTCCATCATTCTAACAATATACCATTTCTCCGATTCTTCCTGACACCAAATCTCCAGTTGATGCTTCTTCGGGATTGGAAATCCAGATGGTTCCAAGCTCATGCAGCTGTACAGGCTGTGACTATCCCAGGTGAACCAGAGACAAGAGGCCAAAGAGTTCCAGAGAGACGGAAGCTTCTTAACTCCAAGGGATGGCGCACAGACCACACCCCCAGGAAAGCAAAGGGCGGTGATTGGACTATGCCTTTCTAGCAGTGTAGGCCAAAAGGAAGCAGCTGGATCAGATGAAATACTAGGGTTTAGTGGGGGAGCCAGAATTGTCAGCAAGTCCTACACCTTTCCCTCTGCAGCTTTTCTAGGAGGTGGATATGTTAGTGCGCTCCCTTGAGGTGGCCAGTAAGGCACATGAAATAAGTGGACATGGGGGTAATATAGCAATGCTGAGATGGACTGAAACTAGAAATGTTTCTCCTTCTCCTTCTAAGGCACAAAATGTCAGTGATAATTGCTCTGCCTTCCAGCAACAGAGATTTGCTAATGCAAGAAGGCCAGGTAAATCTGGTGCCCAGCAGAGCCCCTTTCCAGGGCTTAAATGAAGCTAGTGCGTGCTAACCTCCTGGTGACCAGCTGGGTCCATTTAATGAGTGGAAGTGGAAAGCGTCAGAACACTCTTCCTGGGCTTAAAGGGAAGCTGTGGTTAAGCTTAACTTATGGTGACCACCTGGGATCCACTTGACTGGTGGAAGTGGGAGGCAGGCAGTAATGAAGAGACAGGCTGAGTTTGGACACGGTCCTTCAGCACTATCCACCTAGCATGGGGAATGGATAAGTGGAGAACAGTTGGTGGTCTATGGAGCAGGGATTCCTGAGGGTCCTGCATGGGCTGAGTTAGTCCAAGTGGGGATAAGGCTGAGTGAAACACAGGAAGATGTGTGGATTCCTGAGTTAGAAGCTAATGCCCATTTGGACCTAACCACGGATGACTGGGGATTAGCTGATGCAACCAGGTGAAGAGATGTTTCATTCTGTGAGCTAGTATTTTTGGTCTTACTTGATGGTCTTACTTGATGGACTGGACCTTTGTTTATAAACATGGATTCTAAGAGTTTCAAATGTATAGATTCTTCAGACACGCTTGTTTCCTCACAGTACTGGTGTGACAGGAATGGGCATTTCAGAAATTGGCTACCTAAGATAGGCAGGATTGAGACAAGGAGTGACGTAGTTGGCTAACATCTTTTCATGAATGAAGGCTTCACACAACCTGCCTTTGGTTTGGCAGCCCCACTTAGCGCCAGAGCTCACTCTAGAACTCTCGTCATCTGAAATTAGCCTGCATTATTAGATCTTTCTGTCATGTTGTGCTGTTACTGGCACTTCTCACTTGCCATATTTATTCTCTATTTTGATTAATTGTCATTTTATGTTTATTCCATCCATTTTTTCTTTTTATATCATCTTGTTTTGTAGGCTGATACTTTGCACAAAATATATTCTTAATATATAGTGTCAGCTGAATATAATACTTCAGGTTTTGAAGAAAGTTAATTGAAAGATTTAGTTCTTGATCATCACCCTGAGGCACTCTTAAACCGAATGGAGCCGATCTTGAAATTTCCTTTTAGCAGAAGATCAGAGGGATGTCCAAAATAAAGGACATTACCTGTGAGACTGGGTTCTGCTTTTAAATTCTCAGCATGCCATACCGTGGACTGCCGAGGCAACAAACAGGTCTGTCCTGAAGAGGATGAACCAAGTTGCTCCCTGAAGGCAAGGATTTTGAGGCTCTGTCACATACTTTGTGCTTGTGGTTGGACTTGGAGAAGGACTTCACACTTGGAAGGATGGAGGGACAACGCAGGAGAGGAAGAGCCACGATGAGATGGGCTGACTCAGTGACTCTAGCAATCAGGTCAGAGGTGTCAGAGATGGTGATGTTGGCTTAGGATGGGGCGGGATTGCTATGAGTTGTGGTCAACTTACCAGCACATAATAGTAACAGCATACCTTGTAGCCAACATCATGATCAAGACCACCACCACCACCACCGTTGTCATCACTCTCTGACCACTAACTATGGGCCCCTAGTTGATGTCACGCAGGACTCTGGTATCTAACACTGCTCTAAGGCTATCTGTACTTCCTAGAAGAGAAAATCAGGGTACAGAGATGACAAAGTATTTCTGAAAGTCATCCAGGTGCTGAGACTCAAGGGTGCAAGTCAAAGTGTGGTTGCTGTAATTCTAAAACAGAAAATTCTCAGCATGGGATCAAAAGGTGAACAGCAAAGGTGAGGAGTTAAGGAAAGATTGCTGGAAAGGGAACAAATGGGACAAAACTGAAGCAAATGTTGACATATTGTGATAAATGTAGTTAATATCACCAAAATTTTGTGTGGAAAGGGTCTAATGAAACAATCTAACTTGCTATGCAAACTTTCACCAAGACTCAATAAAATATTTTTATTTAAAAGAGACTATTTTTTCAAACTTCGAATACTTTTTTTATGGTTATGATATTTGTTTTATTAGTGCTTTTAACTTCTTATTTTATATTGTCATATTTTTTCTACTTTGAGACTAGTTATATGTATTTTTTTTAATTCTGCATTTTAAAATTGTATCATCTAATGTATATTTTAAAACTGTAAGTACTTCTTTAAGCAAGTCCAGTTTTCATATCTTTTAAGATTATAGGTGGTTATATAACTACAGTGTTGAATTTATGTTTTAAATCAGCCTCATAATATATAGTTATTGTCTCTTGTGATTACACATTTGTCTTACTTTAATTAAAATCATCACAACATCAGCTTCAAATTTCAAATACTTTGAAGAGACAGGTAGGGTGATTGCCCAGGAATTCTGATTCCTTTTTCCCTCTGTCCTGATTTTCCACAATTATGTACCTACACCATCCAGGCACATCCAGGTCACTGTAGTCAAACAGCAAGGGGGCACCTCTGACATTGTGAACTACATCCGACTGGAAAGCAAGCCCAGAACTAGAAACGTGTTCCCTGCGTTTACAAATGCCAATACAGGAGTGAAATAAAGGCCAAACAAGACAAGGAAAAAACTGAATCTGTGATTTATTATAGTTTATATTGGTCTAGAAAGCTTAAATACGTCTGTCATCATTAACAGTAAATGAATGCAGCTTTACAAAAAATCAGGATCTCGATACAATACAGGACTAAACGTGGCAACTGAGCATCAGAAAATGTCTATTTCCTCAAGGCAAATGTCGACTCTGCAGCACCGTTTAGAAGCTTCCACTACACACCCACGCTGCAGCATCTACCACCAGCTCTACTCAGATACACAAGACTTACTAAATCAAGCATTAGCAGAAACAGTGGAGTCATTCAGGCGTAATATGTCAGATTTGGTACAGGATTAAAATACTAACTTTTTTTTAATGTCCTGGTTTCAAATTAATAAATACAAAAACATATAAAAATATACACCAGTTGAGAGGACCAGTCTGCAGGTGATCAGAACGTTAGATCTCGCTCTCATACGTGTGCAGGTATGTCTTTAGGGCCAGAATCTCCGAATAGCTGCGGCTGGTCTTTCGGAAGAAATCCAGACTGGTGAGCTGTTCAATATCTCGCACGCGGGCTGTGTGCATTTTTATGAGTTCTTCCACCCATTTCGACTCATCCTCTGAGTTCTGCAATGGAAAAAGAACACATACAGAGTCAGAATTTCCCCGAGTGGGGTTCTCCATCCCATCAGCTCGCTCCAAGTTCACCAGTGACCTTTCCATAGCCCCAGACACGCTGCCAAGACATGGTACTCCCTCCCGGTCTCCTTGGCCAATCAACTGCATTCCTGTCATAATGAGCCACAAATACCTGCTGTAAATATTTTCGAGAGCAATTAGCTGTACCAAGTAAACAAGACATGCGGTGTGAGGGCATCTGACTCAACAGGTTCTCAGAACACAAATCAAAATTAAGGAAACCAAAGGCCCTCGTGGATCCAGTCGTCATTTCTTTGCCCCGGCTGTCAAATTGCAATGCTGAGCACAGAACAAAAGGCATTTAGAATACTCTTCTGTCTTCCAACGATGCACAAATCACATGTGCACATTCCTAGTCATTTCGAAAACAATCCAGTCCATCAACTAATCATTTCTGTGATTGCCATAAGCTAAGTTTGGCTTGAAGAAGTTCCCTTGATCCACTTTGGGCATGGAAGGTGGGAGGGGGGTCAAGAAGCCAGAGCTGGAATTATTTCTCTACCACATACTACTACACACCAAGGCTATGGATCCTTGACCTACTGAAGTCTCAGTGTCTTCATCAGACCTTAAGGCTAAGACTTTCTTCTGGCATGACAACAAGAATCAAAGTGAGATGGGCATAAAAGGGAGGGCAGGGAGGAGGAGGAGTGAAGAAAATAGAGAAACATCCAGGAAGGAACAATCTTTTTTTTGGTCAAAACTGTTTCGTTGGTAAAAATTCCCCACAAAAGACATTCACCAGTCCCACCTTAAACAACCTAAGTCATGTCTAATTTGAAATAAAAACCCAATTCGTGCAAAGCATTCCTTTGCATTCTAAGGATATTTCCATTTACTTCTGACAGAAGCTGAAGGGAAAGAATATGATCTGAGTAGCCTACAAATTATGGAAAAATGGCCTCCTTCATTATTAGACATGGGGAGGAAGGGCCTTTATAGGTAATTCCATTCCCAAATGCTTTCCAGAATTCCCGTGGCCTCCAAGAAGCTTGCTGCTGACTGAAGGTGGCCCTGTGTCCCAGGGTTTAGTGCATGCGGACATTTGCCCTCACCAAACTCCTCACCACCAAACTGTGGTGGCCTCACCGAACTGCCCACCAAAGGCCAAGAGCCAAGAAGTGGCAAATGAGTTTTCTCGGGAAGCTCCAGCCCGTACACCCTGGATGGGGGCTCCGAGAGCTCGTGCCAGTGCTAACCATACACCAGGAGTGTGTACGGCTGGCCCGCCCGCACAAAATGAAGACGTTGAACTGCAGACCAGGAGAAGAAGGATTTTGAGCCTCCCTGCTCTATCTTCCCTCCAACCCCAGCTTAACCAGGATCGCTGTGCTTCAAAGCAAAGGACAGACCTAAACATAACTCTCTCCACAAAGCTACTGACCAGCCTCCAGGGCTACCATATAATTAACGAAGTAGGAGGTCTCCACGCAGGTCAGGACCCCTTGAGGGTGAAAAGAGTAAGCATGGAGTTGTACTTTGGGAGGGTTTTCATTTTAGCCCATTTACTGATTTTTATCAGTGGCCAATTCCATTTTACTTTTGTAAATGTCATTTGGAGTATAGGCACAGGGTGAAAAGGATTTTTCCTAACTCAGGGAATAGTTGGGATCACAGGAATTTAAGGGGGATAAACTTGTCTGTTGGTATTGTTTTGTTTTCATTGAGAAGCAATTAGGCTACTGTATTTGTAGTACTAGAAGTAGTTCTAGCAGTTCTAGTAGGGTTTGTTTTTACTTCAAGAAACTTTTCAATTCTTATATCCTATTACAGTTTTCATTTTACATCGTACTAATCGAATTCATTTTCTTGATCCTATTTAAATTTTTTCCCTATATTCCATAATTTGCTTTCAGCTTACAGTGCCCTGACCTTCACCCATAATTGAAGCCATAAACCAACAACCTCTCCAGAGACTGTTCCAGTTATTCGAGCTACTCTTTTCTCTTATGTAGAGAAACTTCTCCACCTGTTTTATTTTCTCTCCCTCATGAGAGGCTGCCTAAGACTCATTACTGCCTGACACCCTACTGATTCCACCAGAGAACTTCACACAATTTAGGCATTTGAATAGTGTTTGTCACTAACAACTCCTCATTCCTCCTAGTGTTTCAAACAAATGCAGAGAGATCATTATTTCTAAAATCCACCAGAGGAAAAAAAGAAATGAAGTCAACCATAGAGCATAGACTTTCCACCACATTGAAGAGGCTCACAGATGTGTGTAACTTGCCTCTGCAGGTAGAATTAAGACAGGGCCGGCAGACAGCATGTCTCCTGTCTCTTGCCTGGGGCTTTTCTGTCAAGCTCATGGTAATGCGTCCTTATCGTTGCCACAAGGCAACAAATGAATCGGGATTCCCTTGTGTAGCCTGCAGATTAGCAGACTGAACACCTGCCCTGGCAAACATGAATAAGAGAAAACTCGGTTTGTAAAGAAAACTCTGTGTGTGTGTGTTGGTGTTGTTGTTAGGTATCATCAAGCTGATAACAGCTCATCGCAACCCTACACACAACAGATCAGAACCTTGCTCTGCCCCACACTGTCCTCATGACCTGGGCCATGCTTGCGCCCACTGTCACAGTCACCATGTCAGTCGGTCTGTCTCACTGAAGGTCTCCCTCTTCTTGGCTAACCCTCAACCTTTCCCACTCACATTGCAGCTCTCCTCGTTGTCAGGACGGTGAGGAAGGATGAACGAGGAGACAGAGAGGGGGCCGTCACACTTGTCGGCAGGCTGGGTGAAATCCAGGCAGCTGGTGAGGATACTGTAGTAATGAGTGGGAACAGGGATGGAACTGCCTTCCACGTACCTGCAACAAGGAGAGAAAAATGACAATCTGTGTGGATCCTTCCTTTCTAAAATTGTGACCAAGGTATATTGCTCAAGCCAGTCTAATTCATTCTGAATCAGTCAGGTCATTAGTCTCTTGTAAGCACTCCCCTGCCTCTGCACCTTTGAACAGGTCTTCCCTGCCTGGCAAATGGATGGAAGAAAACATTTTCAAAATAAAAACTTAAATGTATTGCAGTTGAGTCTGAACTGCCTCCAAGTTGACGCCCCAGTGGATTTTCAGAACTTGTAAGGTGTATGGTAGGTTCCTAGCTTCTTCCCATTGAACAACTGGTGGATTCAAACCACCTACCTTTGGGTTGGCAGTGCAATTCCTTACCCAGCGGGCCACCAGGGCTCTCTGAAGAAAACATTTATATAGAGAAAACTGCCTGAGCCACACTCGGAGGCTAGAAAAGATCAGTGTAGCAGGAGAGTCCATAAAACCAAATTATGAAAGTTCCACATCCCAACATGTGAGTTCAGTATATACTTCATATACTTTATTGTTCAGGAGGTGCATTTCATTGAAGGCTTTTCTGCTAAGGAATGTCATGGCTAGATAGATGTTTCAGGAAAACCATTTTCACAGAACTGATTTTTACAACTCAGAAAATTCATCAGAAGCAGAAATCACTGGAGCCAGGGAAGTAAATAATCCTCTGAAGCTATAATGAGATCTGGAATTTCATGCAGAGAGAACTAATTTACCAAAGGAAATACTAAGTATCGGTGATGAGCCTACTGTTGGCACTGCTGTTGTGTGCCACTGAGTGGAGCCTGGCACAGCAATGCTTCAGGAGAGGACAGAGTGCTCCCTGGGGTCCCAGGCTCTCCTCTTTATGAGGAGCCCCCATCACGTCTTTTCTCCCACAGAGCACCTGGTCGGTTCCCACCATCAACCTTCCGATCAGCAGTTGAGGGCTTTAACCTTCAAACCACCAAAGCTTCTTTTACCGAGTCCCCACGCCTTTTCCAGTATTAAAAAAAAAAAGTACAGAAACTCACAATCTTTTCATTTTAATCATTTCCCCAATTCTGAAATTATAACCAAGCTGAATTAATTTTGGTTCAAAACAAGGACAATGATCAGACGCGTCAGAGTCAGATAAAACTTCTCTTTGAATAACTGGATAGCAAGGAAGAGAACAAGTCATAATTAAACTCTTATCATTTGCATTGTTCTCTAAATGCTTCCTCCTTGTGGTTCTCATGTACCTTTGAGTCAGATCTGACCCATAGCTGACACCCTCCAATGGGTTTTCAGAGGCAGTTAAATCACAGGGGAGGAGACTGCCCGTCATTCTACAAACAGGAACAACGTAAGAACAGTGTACTTTTGCACTGGCAGCTCTGCTCATCTCCTGACCTCTAAGCCCCCAGAGCTACAAATTGAATCTATTTCTCTCTCTCTGTCTCTCATTCTCTGTGTGTGTGTGTAATGAAAGAATACATTTAGTATGCTTGTATCAGATCATACTCTTCATCACATTGTGAATTCCTTTTGAGCAGAGATAGATAGCTTTCTATATCTCCACCAGCACCAAAGATAAACTTTGAGAGACAGCAGGTCCTCACAACCCATCCATTGTGACTAATGGATTCAGCCAGTGTTCTTCACTTGCAAAGCAGACTGAGAAAATCTAAAGGGCTCTTTAGATAAAGGAGATAATTTGGCATTATCACATTTCCACTGAAAAGTTATTGAAAAACAAATGATGTTATCGTTTCTATCTTTTTTTCTTCCATTGAATGAATATGTGTGTTTATTTACTGCAAACCCCATTGCAATTACCAACCTTATGGTTGAATTTAAAATTTAAAAGAACTGAAAACCCACACCAAGATTCTAGAAGCAAAACACGCAAAGGCCATTTGGTCTTCTCTAGGTAGATATCCAGCAATAAGACACTTAGAAGACATAGCCTTGAATGACATCTTAGTATTTAAAAATATACACCAAAATGAAAATACGAAACTTACTGCTTGATTTTGTCCTGTGTGTCATGTAAGCCATCATAATCGTAGTCAAAAATTGGTCCACTTATCACATTAACTCCATTCCTTTCTGAAGCATATTTCTTCACCAATACCCTCTGAAAGTAATTCCAGACTCCTGTACAAAGGCAAAGGCAAAGGCACGTCTTTATTAGCAAAACTTCTAAGACTGACAAAGTCTCTATGTGTTCCACAAGCCAAATGCTAATGGCCAAGAGACAACAGAGACACTGTAACTTAGGGGGAAATCTACCCTCAAATATTATCTTTTTATGTGTCATTTATGAGCCAGGAAAGAAAAAGATAAGAAGCAAGGAGATAAGGATTAGGGAATTTAATCTAGTCCAGGAGTGAAGTAAGGACCCAAGGGAGAAAGTCAAGTGGTGTATAGACTAGAAAGTTGAGAGATATGTAAATGGGCATTTCCAAGCAAAAAGATGGAATAAAACTTTCTAGGTACAGGGAACAGTATGTGTCAAAGAGAGAGCATGGTGCTCCTGAGAAACTCTCCACTCGATCTCATGATTAGCTAGTCTCCAAGCTTGTCCCTCTAGCCCTGGTCATTGTCCTAACTGGAGGCTGGTATCCAATCATCCTTTTAACCATCCATTTTAAATACCTACTAATCATGTCAAACAAGCAAGTCTTCATTAGAATTCTTGATTTCCTCTCCCAGTCCTGCTCCAGTTCTAGGCTTCTTGATTAGAGTTAATGACACTAGTGTTCCAGCAGATGTTCAGCCTGAGAATTTAAGGATCACATGCCTCCTCTCTTCTCTCCTGACTTCACGTGCACAAGTGTTATACTGCTACCTTCAACCTACATCCCAATTATCCTTAATCTGACCACGTCCCATGATGTTCACTGCTTCCACCTGATCTTAGTACGTTCTCTTCAAGAAATGATTTTTTTAAGACTGCTTCCTAGGTTCCTTGTGAGAAAATTACTTCCTTTATCGCCTGTCCTCTATTACGACAGCCAAATAGAATGTTTTACACCATATATCAGATTTCCCTCCCCCTTCCTCATTCTCCCTTTCTCTCTCACAAACACACATGCATGCATTAATACACACACTCATTTCTGACACTGTAGATAGTTTTTCATTCTAAGTAGAATAAAAATCCCAATCCATCACTACTCATCCCAACTGACACCCGCTACATGCCCTTCTTCATGTCCCTCAAGCTTACAAAACTTGCTCCAGGCTATAATTAATTACACATTTACTCTTATCTTTGCCTAGAAAGCGCATGCTCTGATTTGTTCATGTCTGGTTGTGTCACCTTATTCATCTCACAGACTAAATGCCACTCCTGGAGAACATTTCCTGTTCACCTGAGCTCCAATACAGATTACAATAAATCACAGGAAATGAGGAGAATAGAATGGAAGAAAGAGGAAGGTAAAAAGGGCAGATGAAGAGACTAAGAGGTCAGGAGAAGGAAAGTGAGTTAGTTCTGAAGTGCTAGGTTCAATCCATCATGCTACATGCCACAGCGGGTGAAGAGTGCTGGGCCACAGGCACTTTCCACCTCTCCCTTATTACAAGCTCCCTGAGCACTTTTCTGGGCGCTGCACTGATTTACCTTCAGCTGTTCCACGATGAGAGAATGGCAGAGCAGCCTACCAGACTCAAAATCCTCACAAACAGTTATTTATAATAAAGAACAGAGACTAGTAGGAGAGGATCTCAAATTTCAATTTAAGTATATTAAAAAATAAGAAGTAGTGAGAGAAAGAAAAAAAAATGAGAATAGTCAAAACGTCAAACCCACAGAAGTATGGCATGTGAGCAAATCACGCCCTGGTGAAGAACAGAAAGCCCTCTGTGAAAAGCCTTCTGCCACCTCACCGTCCACAGGGCACCATGCGCTTCCCTCATCATTGCTTGGTCAAACACATCTCAATAAAGAAATTCAGTAAACCTTGATTTGTAGGAATGAAATGAAGCAGTCTCCCATTTAACATTGTGACATATGTATCCACCTGGGTTTTTCAAATGGTCCTAATTTTGGTCTATGAACACACCAGGAAATGTTCTCTTTAAAAACATCATTTAATTTTGCACTCCTAAGCCATGAATTCTACCTTTGAATAAAGCGTCCTTTATTAACTGAGACATCAAATAAACCTTGTGGGCCATTTCACCAACGTCAGGCTAAGTCATCTTGGACCTATTTTAAGATTTTATTTCAGCCCCACAAGGTCTGCGACACAATCCAATTCTCTCTTGCTGGGTTGCTGGGTGGAACTATGTTAACATGCTTTCCTGCCTTTCTCTTAAGCTTCTTATGCGTCTCCTCACTGCAAAACAACTAAAAGAGAGGTAAATGAATCTTTGATGCGTATATGGAAGGATAAAAGAATGGGTGGGAGGATGAATGGGCAAATTCTTTATCATCCTAAGTAAAAAAATAATTGCTTTAGAAATTGGAAAATTAAAACCTAAATCTTTAAAAGCCTTAAAGGTCATGAAATCAAACCTTTTCATTTTGCAAATGAAAGGTCATATGACATTGTTGTAATCACACAGTTAGCAATCACACTCCAGAGCCAGGACTCATTAAACCTACGTCATTCACAATATCACTGTCACCTGCAAATATCTATGTAATAAATAAGGGTATTATAAGTGTGCAGAGAGATTAATACATTGTTGTTGTTGTTATGTGCCATCGAGTCGCTTGAAACTCATAGCGACCCTACGTACAAGAGCTCTAAATGCTCTTCTATCCTGTGCCAACCTAACCATCTCAAATGCACTTATTCCCACTGCTCCAGTCACAGAATCGATCCATCTCGCCAAAGGTCTTCCACTCCTTCGCCACCCCTCCACTCTGCCAGGCATGATGTCCCTCTCTAAGGACCAGGCCCTCCTTTGATGTCCCTCTCCAAGGACCAGTCCCTCCTTGCAACATGTCCAAAGCATGTCAGATGAAGCTTCAGAATCCTTGACTCCAGGGAACACTCTGGCTTCACCCTCTCCAGGACAAACCTGTTTGTTTTCCTAGCAGTCCCTGGTATATTCAACACTCTTCTCCAGCACCACAGCTCAAAGGCATCAATCCTCTTTCTATCAATCCTATTCACTGTCCAACTCTCTGATAAATTATTTATTAATAAATTAATAAATAGCAATGGGTCAAGCCATCTGACATTCAGAAGACCCTTCTAAGTTTCTGCTGGGTCTCGGGCTCAACATTTGCAGTCCATCATTGCAGCAAAAGATGCAAATGTTGGTAGCATTTACTGTAATCTTCAATAAATAAGTACAGACATTATTATATGCCCGCTGACTTCCAAAATACAGGCAACTGGTGTTCAACCATGAAAATAATGAGCACAGAAATAGAAAGAATATCCGATTCGAAGGAAAATACAAACTTAGGCAGGCCAGCGTCTACCATTTATAACCTGGGTCACCTCTGGGGACTTCAATTTCTTAACTATAAACAAAAGCTACACTGCCTTTGTCGTTTCCCACACAAACAAGTGTTACGAAACAACCATAGAGAATTTACAGGAAAGGTCTTTAAAAAACCGTAAAAACGAAAGCCATTATTTGTATCATTAAATTAATATGGAGGTAGAAAAGTAGTAGGTTCAGAAACATTTATTTTCCTAAATCACAGTTTAGTTAGTAAATATTGGACTTACGTTTGAAGGCAGGATACATGGGAACCATATTGGTTACAAGGAATGCATCATATTTAGCTTCAGGTGAAGAGCTCAGATCTAAACAGTTAGAAGACAAATAAAGCTTGTCACTTACCAAAACCTACATGAATAAGCAAGTATCCATCTACAATGAGCCAGAGATAATGGAGAAAATGCATCAACTATTTCATACTCTCTTTTCTTCAGGACCTTTTACTTCACCTTCCCACCAAACCTTTCTCCTTCACTAAAAAACTCTCTCTCTCTCTTAATGTTTTCAATATTATTTTCTTCTTTTCTAGTTCCTGGGTCTCTTAATTATGAAGTAAAAACATCCTTTGACGCCAATAGAGAAATTTAGGCCTTTAAAAAAGTTATCTATGTAATGAGAGGTAACTAAAGGGCTATTCTAGAAAGATCACTTCCTAGTATTATATAGAAGACGAATGCCTTAATGATTTCCTATTTAATTTTCTCTAATTCTTCTATAAGTGAAGATAACAAAACAAAACTCTACACATTGGAGGAATGGAAATTCTGAAAGCTCACCAATCACAGTGAGTTCTAGAAAGGCCACATGTGTCTAGCTCTACAATCTTTTAAATGTCCCTCTTATCTTGAGTGAAACTTGAACCACGGAAACCTCAAGCTGAATACTTCAAACCAAAACCAAACACCAGTTACCATCAAGTTGATTCTAACTCGTGGAGACCCAACTGTTCCATGGGGGTGGGGGGAGTGCTTTTTGGCTTGACTGTAATCCTTGTAGGGACATGTTGGGAAAGGTGAGAGATGAGAAGAAGAGAGGAAGACCCTAACACAGCGACCCTAACGACGGGTTCAAGCAGATCAGAGATGGTGCAGGGTAGGGCAAGATTCAGGTCTGTTGTTCAGATCCAGGCTGGGAGTCCCAGTGGACTTGATGGCACTTAACAACAACAACAACAGCAGGTGGCACCGATGGTTAAGCACCTGACTACTATCTTAAAAGTTCATCATTTGACTTTGTCCAGAGGCACCTCAGAAAACAGTGCTGGCAATCTACTTCCAAAAGCTCACAGCCTTGGAAATCTTCTCTGCAGGGTGACTCTGCACACACCGGTGGCATTCCCATGAGTTAGAAACAACCTGGCAACTAATAACAGTCTTTGCAGAAGGAGTCTGCCAGGCCTGTCTCTCCCACAGCTGCTGGGTGGATCTGAATCAACAGGTAAGCAGTTAATGCTACCACCATGCAATGCCTGGACCCACTCATACTTCAAATCCACAAAACCACACCCCTCTGGAATCTCCAGACACTACACTCTATTGGAACTTACAAGGTGGGAAGATGAAGCCATATGACATCTGTTTATCAGTTTTGTAGGCCAAACAACTCTGACTGAAGCTCTGAGAAATGCGGACATCAGGCCAGACGCAGTTGGTCAGATGCTCAGGGATGACAGACACCTCCGCCTGCAAGGACAGGTACAGGCATTTAGTGGTGGTGGCTGAAGGGTAGCGCCAAGACATCATGAGAGCATCGATATCTTGTTGCTGTTTTCATAGTCAAAGGCAAAGACACTTGTACTTTTTGCTATATAGGTCAGGTGCTGATTCCTTTAAGAAGTCCTTAATTTTTAAAACAGTAAACCAGTAATGTTCAAAAGCTGATTTCTTTCTTCAGCAGAAGATTTTTATCAAAGTCTTAAATACAATAGCACACAAAGCAGAAAATAGAGACTCAAATGTTGAGATGATAAAAGGAATTCCATGACACAGTTTGAAAATAACAATCTTAAGAAATATAAATACATGAGCTATCTTAAAGAAAATACACTCTGGTAAACCTTTTACCAGTAACCCTTCTATTTTTTTTTTTTACTCTAATGGTTTTACACTATCTTTGTCCTTATGAGGCTGAGTTAGTTCACTCAGCATAATGCTCTCCAGCCTCTCCCCACATTATACAGTATTTTTCCAAATCATTGTTCCTGAGTGCTGCACAGTATTCCCCTGTGCGGATGTGTTACGATTTCTCAAAGTCCAAAGGGGGAAGGGGAGGGTGGTGAGGGGATGAGGGTGTACAGAGGGGCAAATCTCGAGGTCACAGAGTTTGACAGGTAGAGCAAGGGGATGAGTGAATTAGGAAAGATCCATCCAGTGGGGACCTGAAAAGGTGGGGTAATGATGAGCATGGATCAATGGCTATTTATTTTATAAAACACAACATATGGAAATGATAATGTGAAACAGTGTGAGTGGAGGAATCCATGAAACACAATGTATACAAATGAAAGACAATGTATATGACTTTTGCATGGAAACCAATATAAAATTTTTTAAAATTATTCTGTAGTAGGAGAGAAGGGGAAACAAGGAAAGTATACACACCTAAGAGCATGAACATATGGACATGCACATGCTGGAAACTGGCCAGCAACTGTGTTTGGGGGCAAAGTATTCTTTACTTTGGTCTCAGAAAGTAAAAATATGCCCACATTTCTCAGTAAGTAAGTAAAGATTCTCTACATAATGGAAGGACCAGTTCTTGGAGAGGGCCATCATGTTGGGAAGGGTGGAGGGATGGAGAAAGAGAGGGAGACCCTTGATGAGATGCATTGATACAGTGACTGGGGTAATGAGGGTGGGTGTGTCAGAGACAGTGAAGTTGGCACAAGTTAGAGCAGGGTTTGGGGCTGTTGTACATAGGGGTCCCTATGTTGTATGTAGGGGTACATAGGAGTTGTAGGCAGCTCAATGGCACTTAACAACAAACAACGAACTAGTCATCTTCACCAAAATATGAAACCCTAATATAAACCCTCTATTAAAAAAAAAAATCAAACAAATCTTGGGAGTTTACTTATTAGATAGTGACTTAAACAGAGTGAAAAAAAAATAAAATAAACTGACCCTCTTCTGCCTTCAGTATTTGATATTTGACCATGTACTTATCAAACCCCTATACACTCATTGCTGCCAAGTCAAAACCAGCACACAGCTGGGTTCGGGTGGGTTCCAAGGCTGTGACTTTCATGGGAGGAGACTTCCTGTCTTCCTCCTTTGGAGCTTCTGGTGGATTCGAACTGCAAGAGTTAACAACAGCACACCTTCCCCTGGACTGTGACACCAGAACCCCCTAAAGTCTCGACGCAATATGTCCCTGAACATTTCCTCTGTCAGCAAACAAGACAATCTTTCAGAAGCCAAAACGTTCATATGCAAGGAATTATTGCGTGGCCTCAAGGAATATAAAACAGTGAGGAAAAGAAAATCCCATTTTCCCAGTGACCTGTTTGGAAACAGTGTACGATGTCCACAGAGGCATGAGGAGCGTCTCACTGTATCCGCTTTCAAAGTCAGTATGATACAAGATTGAATATCGAGTCCGATAAAGCACCGCAGGCCGACCATAGAGAAGGTGTCGCTCTAGGAAAGAGAAGATAAACTGTATTAAACGTGTATTAACCTTTGCATTGAATGCTACAGTACTATTAGGAGAGAATCAAGGGGTCCAACATGTGCTTGCTTACTTATTAATAATGCAGCGCCTTCTCTTTAATTTAATCAAGTTAGTTTTCCTAACCTTTTCTTGGTTTATCTGATCACCTAAGCATGGGTCAAGATTTTGGAGCTGGTAACATACATATTTCCATTGAAGGTTTTTTGGGTGTTTTTTTAAAAGTCATAATAAATTTAAAGTCTGTAGACAGGAAAGAAATACAGTTGTTGGGTTTTTTTTTGTTTGTTTGTGTTTTTTTTTTCAGCCAAATGAAAAGCCACGCTGACTGAAATGGTATAGAATTCATCCATTTGACCCCTGGAGAGGTTTATCAAATGAACCAATGATTTAATTAAGAGGAAGGCTCTCTTTAGTCTTTATTTGCAAATTGCAACTTAAATGTGCATTATTTGAGCATAAAAACTGAGTAGAAATGAGCATTATCAGTAAGCACCTTGGTCCCGTGGAGGAAAACTCTCTGGATAAGAATTTAAAGGAACATGTATAGATAAAATAAGAGGGTGTTTAAAAGGGTCCTTCAGATACACAAGGGGAAAGGTCATCAGATATCAATGAGCTCGTTTAAGACTCCATATTGCAAATTCAAACTGGCTAGGGAAAGTTGCGTCTTAGGGAAAAATAGTCTGAGATATCACTCTCAAGAGAGGTGACTTTAGGACACAGAGCTTAACTCTACCCCCAAAATAAATCACTTGCATCTCTCTGCCCATTTTGAATAAGTTAAAATCAGAACTGCCACAGATTCTTGGAAATTGGGGTCCTAAAAACCAAAATATTTAGAGATTAGGGTTTAGGCAATTCATAAGGATTCTCTAAGTGATAATGACTATTACTATTATTTCCAAAAGAAATAATAGTCGAAATCTAGTAGAAATAAAGACAAAGGCGGTTGGGAGAATCACTTATTAAATTATATATACATGTTGCTTTAATTAAAGTGTTACCAATCTCTGCATGTAACAGGAAAAACCCTTTGTAAGACAGTTTGGAGACTCGCCCAAGTAGAACTGATGATTTGAGGCAAAGCAGCCCACACTGCTTGAGCACAAGCCTGTTCTGGGAGTTCTGGCTTCTTCAGCATCGCAATAAATGTAGAAGCCTTGGTAAGCCTGCCAAATTCAGGGACCCACCCCTAAGATTTAGAACCTAATGTGATTACGTTACAAACATGATGAACAAATAAAAAGCCTGCAAATCATAACAGCAGTACTTGGGGGCACTTCACCACCCCAGACTTCTCCTTCAAAACTCAAACCAAACCTTTTCTAGGCTCAAAATTTCCATTAACGTTTTCCTTGTTTTCATTTTTGTTGCCTCTGAATTTTCTGGTTTCGGCTGGAAGCAAAAGTATCAAAATTCTTTTGAGAAGCTCTTCTCTTCAAATCATTTAACTTTGATTACTTACCAAACATATTCCTCCACATGCAAATGCAAACCTAGCATCCAATCTATTCCACTGAGGGGACAACAAAATGGCAGCCCTTGATTTCTGAAAATACCCCTTCTGATAACAGTCACCATTGTCTTAGCCCACTTACAGTGTCCACCGACCCTGGATCTTCCTTCAGTCCTCCTCGTTCCTTAGACTCCTTCAGCAAAATATCTCTCAAGGCTCCTCAGTGTCTAAGAAAGCCTGAAGGTCTCTGGCAACATTTTGCTCAAAATGTTCTTAACACCTCTAAACTGTTGTACATGTTGTTCTGTTTCTCTCTACCAGGAATTGTCTTTCCAGAAACCCTACCATCTATCTCTTTTCTAATTCATTCATTCATTCATGTTACATCCTCCTCATTAAATACTGAGAATATCCTTTCTACGTTACAGAATGATGACACTGTTCAAAGATGATTAAGATAAAGCTCTTACACACAAACAACCTACTGTTCAAAGAAGCAAACATAACATAAATTATCAAAATGTAACATGTGTGTCCAATACCAGAGATATTTACAAAGTTATATGAGAAAGCAGAGGATAATAAATACTGTTGATGGAGATGAGGTGGAATCAGTAGGGTCTTTATAGAGCATAAAGCCAACGTAAACCTACATCCTGGTTTATGCCTGTTGACCTCGTATAACTGTTAACATTTCCTACTTTCACCCTCAGATATGAACCTTATGAACTTTGTATGTAAACCAGTATAAAATAATTTTTTTATAAAAAAGGGGGGAAGAAAGTGGATGATAAATGATGTCATGCAGTTCAGCTCATCCTGGAGGAATTAGGAGGAAAGAGAGAACAAAGGGAGAAGAAATATTTTAAGATTCACTTTCTCTTGAAAGATTTCCTCAGTTGCACTTTTCTATCTCTGCTCAAAGTCTTGTCTTGCATCTAGACGATGTCCGTTTTCCTTGGGAACTTGGGCTTTGTAGGTCCCAATCTATTGTTACAACTGTCATTTAGGCACACAGCTGGAGCACTAATCATTTCTGTGTCTTAAATGTCACTGGGCATAAATGGCGAAGGGGCAGGGATGTAGTGGTGTTTTACAGCCACTGGAATCCCACCAAGGTCCTCTACTGACCCAAAGAAGCTACTTGAGTCTCTCAAAGCATAATGGGGTTTTTTTTCTATTATGAAAGAGGTAAAACAGATAATCTTTTCATTAAAAAGGAGAACTTCAAGATCTACATTTGACTTTTGAGTTGATCAGAGTATCAAAGACCAGGTTTCCCAAAGTCTGACTCATCTACTTGTGACATCTCTGGCAAGCCACCCGTCTGCATCTCTGCTTAGCAAAGAGTCCCCACATCAGCATCCAGCAATCCTAGATTTTGCACGTGTGGTCTTTGCTCTCAAGACTACACATGCTGGAGACCTGCCTGTGAGTTTCTGATCTGAAATATGTTCCTCATGATTTCTTGACGGGAAACTCATGTTGTCTCCTGTCTTCCCAGGCTGGGTTCCTGCTCCCGTATTTCCAGACAAAGACTTCATTCCACATCCCAGTTCCCTGTTTACAACAGTGTCTCTGGCATTTTTTTTTTTTTTTTGCACACCAAGGTTCTCCTCCAGATCCCACACTTGGGAAAATACTGCAAAGCAAATCTTTTTAAGTGGTATGGTATTCTTTTTTTAGGCTTCCAAAACTTAGTCAACCAGAATTGAGTTTGTATTTCTTTTCCCTCCTCAGCTTCCGGATTCATATTCCCACAGAATAACTGGCGGAGTGAAGAGCCACATGAAAATCTCCCCAGTTTTAATGTCTTTTTAGTGCTCACTGCCACAATAATACTCTTAGATTTTACCACAAAATCTCTCCCCATGTCCTTTCCTTTTCTTGCATCCTTTCTCTGACTTTTGCTTTGCAAGTACCTATCATTCACTGTTATTCCAACCTCCTCTGGGAGTGGATATCCCTACCTATACCCTAGTCTTTCAACTCTCAAACCTTAAAACACTGTGCTGATTCCATCACTGCCTGTATCCCTCAGTAGAACAATAACTTGGTAAGTCAGGAACTATATATGTCTAGTTCTTCATGGTATCTCCTCCACTGATCACAAGTATCTAGCATCTTATAAGCACTCAGTAAATATTTGTTGGATCAAGAAATTTTTTTTTAAAAAAATCAATCTTTAGGACTCATAAGACTTGAATGTATCTAATTTCTTTTGCCAGTATAACCCTAAGAGCTATACTGGGTAGACATCACTATCATTTCCACTCAAGTGGGTGAAGATGGAGTTTTATGATTTGAACTTGATTATTCAGCCACATAATAGCATCCAAAATCTACCTCCACCCTCCTAGGCCACCACACTTCTCTTTAAGCTTTTGGCCAGTCTCTAGTTAGAGGCTAACTTTTGGGTGATACTAACAGGAAGCATGTTAGAATGAAGATCCCTGGGCATGAGCTCTTTCCAAATAATGTCTGCTGAGAAGCTAAAGAGAAGATGCGTTCATATCAAGACATCTAGTACTTCAGAAAAATCTTTCAAATCCCAACATGATTAAAGATTCTCTCCTTGTATGGTTTCTTTACCAAAAATCCTAGAAGAAAAAGAATTTTAAAAGGAAAGTATGTGTGCTTTTGAGTCCTACAGTGTAAGAGTTAATAATTACCTCATTTCCCCCCTAATTCTATAACTCATGCTCCCAATTCTCTTGTACTACTTGATTATTTGGATGGGTAGCCCAAAGCTTAGTTTTGACTCATGGTATCTCGGAGTTAATGGTGTTTGCTCTACATCAATATCAGCAAAGAATGTCTGTTTTGTTGTTGTTAGTTGTTATTGAGTCAAATAAGGCTCATAGTGACCCTATGAACAACAGATCTGAATTCTGTCTTATCCTCATCATCTCTGACACACTTAAGCCCGTTGCTGCAGTCACTATGTCAGTCCATCTAATGGAAAGTCTTCCTCTCTTTCACTGACCCTTCACCTTTCCAAGTAGGATATCCCTTTCCAAGGAATAGCCTTCCCTAGAAATATGCCCATAGTATGTGAGAGGGTCAAGGACTGCAGCCTTCAGTATGGACTGAGGCTCAATGTCAAGAAGACAAAGATTCTCACCACTGGACCAATTGGTAGTATCAGGATGGATGGCGAAGAGATTGACATTGTTCACAGCTTCAGTTTGCTCAGCTCCACGGTCAACACTCTTGGCACCAGGCACCAGGAAATCAAAAAACATATTGCGATGGGAAAGTCTGCTGTTAGGGACCTCTCTAAAGTACTCAAGAGCAACAGTGTCTCTCTGGAGACTAAGGTGCGCCTGATACAGGCCATGGTCTTTGCAATCACTTGTTATGCATCAAAGAGTTGGACAATGACTAGGGAGGATAAAAGGAGAATTGATGCCTTTGAGCTGTGGTGCTGGAGAAGAGCATTGAATGTACCATGGACTGCCAAGAAAAGAAACAGATTCATCCTGGAGAGGGTTCAACCAGGCTACTCCTTGGAGGGAAGGATTCTGGGGCTTCATCTGACATACTCTGGACATGTTGTAAGGAGAGACAGGTCCTTGGAGAGGGACATCATGCTTGGTAGGGTGGAGGGAGAGCGCAGGAGGGGAAGGCCCTATATGAGGTGGATTGATTCAGCGACTGGGGTAATCGGGATGGGTGTGTCAGAGGCAATGAGATTGGCACAGGATAGAGCAAGGTTTAGGTCTGTTGTACATACGGTTGCTATGAGTCACAAATGCCTCGACGGCACATAGCAATAACAACAACATGTGAGACCAAGGTTAACATCCTTGAATCTAAAATTTTATTTCTTTACTCATCAAATGCAAGCAAAATTCTACTATAAATTACGTACAATTGTACTAGGTATTGATTTCTTTCAAGTTTTACCCAAAACACAAATAGATAGGTACCTCTCCTCCTTTTCTGGGGTACAATTATCATCTCCTTTGAAATTTTTTTTTAAAGTGAAAAACATATCAGGGTTGAAAAAAATATCCTGATGGAATCTGTCTCTTCCCATATTCAAGACCTTGCATTAAAGGTAACAGAAACTCCTGGTGTTGAAGTAATTTCTCTATTCAAACTTCATTCTCATTGTGTGTCAGGAAGAACCAAACTTACTTAGGTTTAAAATTATTTAACTCAGTTTTCCACAAATATAATAGTTTAACCTATGAAGACATAAAGCAATTTTATGACCATATAAATCAAGAAAAAAACAGAAGTAAAAATAAATGGGGTTAATCTTGTAATGATAATTACAGCTTGCTACCCTGTTAGATTACCTGTTTTTGAGACATTTTCAATTTAGCAATTTCTTCATTCATTCATTCATTCATTCAAGTCTCAAAAGAATGAGTGTACACTGAACAGTAACTTTCCCAAGAAATTAGGTGCCTGTGCTCCAAAATAAAATCACACAGTTGCATCTAGAATTCACCACATGACTCAAAATATTAAGACTTCCGTAAGCAGTTTGGGTCACCATTTATGAATATTACATTTTGCCTTTCTTCATGTTGGAAAACTTGATTCTTTAACAGTTTAAACATTTACAGCAAAATACTGCCCAATATTAATTGATTATATTCACTACCTCAAATGTTCCTTTTGTTGTTTCCTCACATGGATTGTACAGTGTTTACATATCTGTTTTGCGAAGCTGCAGGGGTGATTTCACACAGTATATGGTACTAAAACTGCCACATATGGATGTTGTTGTAAGAGGGATGTGCAGAGCACATGGCTTACGGGGGGGGGGGGGTCAGCTACCTACATCTGTTTAGAAAAAAAAACCTTAACAGTAATAAAAGTAATATGAGATTGGATTTGGCTAGAACCTTAGGTTCAAAGTGCTTTAAAAGCCTTGATGTATAGTCAAAAGTACCCAGAAAGGAAGTCATTATCCTGGAAATAGCATGCACACCCACCCACACGGTCACGCATCCACCAGGTTCCACTCCAGTAGAGCAGACCCTGACTATCTGGAAGACTGAATGGATGAGCCAGGAAGTACCAGAAAGTCCCTTCAAGAACTTGAACAAAGATAACTTTGCAGCTAAAGAAATGACTTGAGATGGTGCTCTTAAGGAGATAAACCTCAAGAGACAGCACTGGTATAGCTGTCAATAGAGGTCTCTTCCAAAGACCCAGAAGAGACAGAGAGTTCAAGTGAGAGAGAGATGACAGGGAGGATTATGTATCCTAGAATCAAAACAAGGATGTCCTTTGCACATAGTGTGGCAACGATGATAGAATTAATTTTATTTCACATTGTTGTTAGATGCCGTTGAGTCAAGTGTAACCATATGAACATCAGATCTGAACCCTGTGCTATCCTGTGTCATCCTCAACATCTCTGACACACATGAACTCACCGCTGCTCTTACTGTGTCAACCCATCTCATTAAACTTACTATTCTAGCAAGCCGCAAGCAGGTCTTCCCGACTATTTTATGTCACCATTTTGAAGTCACATGTGGGCTACTTATCAGTGGGGCTTTTGTCTCAGAGAAACCAGTGATGAGCTCAGAACAGGTGTCCCGCAAGGGCTTGTTGAATGAACCCACAGTATTTAATTTCCTTGATGGTTCATAAACTTCAAGCTTCAGTGACAGAAAATCTTCTTGAAACAGACACTTGACATTCAACTCTGATAAAAGTGCCACAGGAGGTGGGGTTGTGTAGGGAGAAAAGTGCAACAATGAATGACTGGAAACCCTAAATCTCTGTAAATTTTCATTAAAATTAATTTTTTAAAAAGTGTCACAGGGATGAACTAGATCTTCCTTGAAGCCCGTGGGTGCATAACTCTGAGCAAGGAGCCCTTTCAAGTGTAGAGATTTGAGCTTACCATTTATACTGAGTTGTGGGACTGATTTTGTTACATGAGCCCTCTGCCACTAACAAAGTAAATGCAGGACTTTTCTTTTTCCCAGACAGAAATGTTTTCCTACAGTAAAGAATTATTATCGTGAATCAACAAAAGCATGAGAGTCCCTCGAATGTCGTTATAACAAATTACTCCATTAGTGATGTCTGGAAGTAGCACTTGGATATTTGAAAACTTTAAAATCACCAAGTGCCTCGGCTCCAGACTCCAGCAACTGTCCAAGTTCTCTAATCACAGTAACACTAGAGTCCATTAAAGGTTAGATGTCACACATTTTAAGTCTCTCGTAGAGTTTGTGAAGGACTTGGGTACCTTCTCGCCAATTAAGTCCTATCTTCAAAGCTGTGTTCATCCAATTATCTGCCTAAGAGTTTGTGTGTTCTATGATCAAAGGAGAAAAAGAGAGGGGGGTGACACAAAAGAGGAACAGGGGAAGCAGATGAAGATCTTTGTAAAGAAGGAGAAGAAGTCAAGTAAATAAAATCTTACACTGGTTTCCCCAGTGTACTTAATCTGATTGGAAACAGCACACACACTAAATAAAACCATGTGTAAACTAATAGCTCAAGTGATTCTTTTAGGATAATTTGGCCGTGTCATCCTTTATTATACTGCTGGGGCTGGTATGTTTTTAATATACTCTCAGTCATTCACTGAATGACGGCATATAACTGAGCGATATTTTCTTCTGCTCTACAGAAAATCACCATGAGCTGGAGATAATGCAATGGCAACTAAAAGCAATCCTCCTGCTTTCTCATCTATTCTAGTGACCTATATAAAGGGGTTTTTTTCCTCCTCTTCTATTTTCTTCTAAGAGTCTAGCATTCCAAAATTAGAAGAGACTGTGTGGTACATTGTATAACTGTTCTTTTTTATTCATTGTCCTCCAGTAAAGGATTATATACTACCACCCACTCTGTGTGGTAACATAAAGGACAATGTCCCTGTGGGCAGATTCTACTTTCCCACACCACAGGCACCCTGTACTTGGCTTTGACCAGTGATTTGTGAACAGAAGTGGCATATGTCTCATAAAAGCAGAAGTACTGGGACCCTGTGTCGACCATTCCTTCCTCCTCTGCCTTGACAAGGGCATGTCCCAGACGCCTTCAGTGTAGAATGCAGGAAGACGATGCATGGAGCCAAGTTGCACACGGCCTTCAGTGAGCATCCTGAAATGAAGACTAGGACCCACTTTTCTTCCTTCAAAGCAATAAGACTTGAAGGCTGATTTTTGCCCCAGAATAAGCTTATAAAAATTGACTAGTAAACACTTGTTATCACTGTACATAATATTAATGGAGAAAGAGTTAGGGTCCAGGGAATGCTGTATGGGATTTGTATCTCCTTTCATTCTGTGAATCCCTTCGCACCACAACATACACCTTTCCTTTCCAGATGGGTAGACAGCAGTAAGGGTACCAGCTGCTACTATTTATTATTGCAACGACAATTCTCACCTCCACTTTAGAATTCATTAGATACATAATGACACTATTTTGTTGGAAATTAAAAACTAGAAGGGGGACACTAATGGAAATGTACTAACGATTACACTTTTGGTAGCTGGCCTCCCATGAACTCAGACTCAGAATAAATCAGTACTTTTTGTCAGATAAATATAAACACTACCTTACAATAAAGACTGTAAATTTTAAGAATTTGTGCTTACACTATATACAAGAATTCTCTTCCATTTTTGAAAACCAAAAATAAAAACAAATCCAAAGCATAATTGATTGATTTTTTTCATCAACCTCTTACCTTCTGTAGACCCTTTTATAGTAAGGCGTTTGTTGAGTTCATCCAGTTTGCTCTTCATTTTTGAAAAGACAAGAAAAAGAAAAGAAAACCAGTCAGAAAAGGTTTTTTTTCTTTATTTTTTCTCTTTTCTTAGCATTAAAATTCAAAAGGGATGTTGACTCTATCAATTTCATAAGCCCTATAAAGGAATTTGTTTTTGTTCAAACTCATTCTAGGTTCCACTTCCTAGTAAAAAACTCTATGAGATCTCGAGTTCCCATCTTCACATGACTTTTTTCCCTTCTGTTCAAACTGTATACTAACTTGCCATGTGTATATAATGAGGATCATTTAGGGTAATAAATATAACTTAATTAGAATGGTGCCTAAGTATTTCAGATTGAGCCCAAGGTACACTAAGGCGATTTCCAAAGTAAATTGTTGAATCACTTTTTCCAAAGCTGAAAAGCTATGACCCAGTGATTCTGAAAAGTAAGGACTTGGCAACATCAGCCCTCAGTATAGATCCAGGAAACACTCCAGCGTATGCGTGTACAAGAAGCCATTTGCAACAAAGCCTATTGCCGCATGGTGTGTAACAGCTAGCAATTGGAAATGACCCCACGTTCTTAAGTAGGACAAAGAATAAAATCAACATGGTGTGTTTATATATTCTATATTCTGTATTCTGTATTCTATATTCTATATATTTATGCATTCAATATCAGCAACCAAATGACTAAATGAAATGTTGTTATGTGCTGTCGAGTCAAGTACAACTCATAGTGACCTCAAGCCCCCCTACAACTATCCACATTTATCAAGGTTCATAGAGTTTCCGGAGGCATGTCCTTTAGGAAGTGGACGTTTAATCTGCTTAGCTTCCTTGTTTCTAGACAGTCCATAAAAGCAGGAAAGGGTGAAGGTGAGGGCTGGGGGATGGAGGGCTGGGGAGTGGAAGGAGAGTAGAACAGGACAGAAGAACAAAGAGAATTCCTCCCACGCCCAGTGTCCCAGCTCCTAAACCTCTCTGAATCCTGGACGGAACAAATGACGAGGTAGGCAAGCAAGTAATCAGAGAACTGTTTTCCATTTCTCACAAGCTGAACAGGGAGGAATAATCACAGAACACTCATAATCAGACAACGTAGGCAAAAATAACAGGTTTAATTGCTTTAAGCTGGAAGCACATCAATTCATTGTGGTCCATACTGGTTATTTCCTGCTTATCAAAAGTGCTGAATGGCAGCTATTTAGGCCTTTGATCCACAGAAAATGCAATATGCAAATTACTGCTTAACAACTGGAGTGGTTTTGTACTCAAAAGCCAAGCCAACTGGTGCTGACTAGTATCTGTTCTCTCCCTGCCTTGTGTCAGACAGCATCACCTCTAAGGACAGCAGGAAGGAGCAACATTGTTCTCTGGCTTCCTTTTGAGTGTGGAAGATACTGGAGGAGACAGATGAGAATAGTTACTCTACAGTTTTCACCCTGCCAAGTAGCAGTGTATTAACTGCATCCACCCATTCGAGGTTCTTTGGTGGCTTGCATGGTGCTGGGATCCTGGGAGATCTGCCTCCAGTATTTCAAACACTAGCAGCCTCACTCTTAGTGAAGAGGTTTCAGTGAAGTTCCCAAACTCAGATAGATCAGAAAGAAGGACATGGCGATCTTCTTCCTTAAAAATATTGGCCAATGAAAACCTCATGGATAGCAGAAGAACATTTCCTTACGTAGTATGACCTGTGAGAGAGAAGCTGCCTCCTCAAAGTAGGGCCGAATTGAGTGCTATCGAGTCAAACTTTCAGGTTCTTCATTCGCTAATATGGCACAACTCAAAGTGAGAAGAAATTAGCTATAACCATTCATTAATAACCAGAACAGGAAATGAAGGAAGTGTGAATACATGAGAACAGGAAGTGGTAAAAAATTAAATGGCAGATCAATACTTTAAGTACGGTGAGCTGAACTGCACTGGTATCAACCATTTTTAATTAAGCAGTACTTTGAGCTGTGGCGCGGAGAAGAGTATTGAGTGTCCCATGGATTGCCAAGAAAACAAATAGATTCATCCTAGAGAGGCTTAAACCAGGCTGCTCCTTGGAGGCAAGGATTCTGGGGCTTCGTCTAACATACTTTGGACATGTTGTAAGGAGAGACAGGTCCTTGGAGAGGGACATCATGCTTGGGGAAGGGCAGGATACTTGCTTAAATAGAGGGTCAGCAAACAGGAAGAAGAACAAGGAGATGGTTTGACACTGCAGCTAACAATGGACTCGAGCATAGTAAAAATCCTGGGGATGTCACAGAACCAAGCAGTATTTCATTCTGTTGTAAGTAAGATGTACAAAGTTGAAAGCAACTCAATGGCACTTAACAACTACATACCTGCAGACCTCCATCAAATAGCACCATTCCTGCATACAGCTCTCTTTTCTAATTCTGATAACTGCTCCCCTTCCCCTCAGGCCAAGGAGTGGTAGACTGCTAGCCCTAAGGTGACCACACCAAAAACTTTCTTCTCCATGGGCCATCTGCTTGATATCAGAAGCCTGACTGCTAAGCATGTCATCTATTATTGAAAATAAAAAAAAGTCTTCAAGAATCCTGACATCATACATCAGACCTTTTGCCCTTCATTTTCTAAACCTGTGCTGGCCAATAGGGTAATCATGAGTCAGAAGTGGTTACATTTAGATTAATACAGTGTTGTTGTTGCTAAGTGCCGTTGAGTTGTAAGCAACTCATAGCAACCCTGTGAATGAAAGTCCTCAACGCTTGTGTGACTTTCATCCTTGCTCCCCATTCATAGGGTTTCCAGAGGCAAGCTATTTACGGAAGTGGATGCCACTCCTGCTTCCAAGCTTGTTTTAATTGGGGAGCTCCACCAAACACTGTCCACCATAAGTGACCATTATCGCATTTGACACATCAGTGTCACAGTGTTCAGCTTCACAGCAACCACGAGTTTCCTCTCTGTATGGCAAGTGGACACACCAGGGCTATATGACCTAGAAGAATGTTTCACCAAATACAATTAAAAAACAGGCCTGAGGGCTGCGGATTAGTCATCCACCTTTGGCTTGGTAGCATCACTTTCTGTACACTAGGCCAACTGGTCTATCCCTGTGTAGATTAATACAATTAAATGGCATTTAAAAACTCAGTTTTTAAGTCACACTAATCACACTACAAGTGCTCACAAGTCACACATAGCTAGTGGCTATCGTTTTGCAAACACAGATCTAGACCATTTATTTCCATTATCACAGGAAGTGATGCTCTTCACTCAAAACCCTCCTCTGTGATAGACATGAACATGACCTCTACTGTCGCTCTACCTTATCATCACAGCTGCAGCCCAGGTCAAAATCAGACTGAAGATACGTAACCCCTGGGTAACTGGGCCGGGTAACCTCCTCTGGCATGGTTGGCCTGAAGGTGTTGGTACGAAGGAGATGATTCAAACTGCCATGGGTCCCGTTATTAGGAGCGGGCTTCAATCCCAGGAGATCTGGTGAACAGAAATGAAAGGGGCCAGATGTTTCTTAAACGGCTTGATGAAATATGGTGAGAATCCAAACCATTTTGCTTTCAAGGACTTAAGATCTTGGGGCACAAATCTGAAGAAACCGAACTAAGCCCTTTTTACCTCTTGATTCAGTCTAGCCTGACCATGTCTTGCTTGAGCTTCCTGAAACAGTCAAGTGCACTGCTGAATCAGAGGAAGGCACATACTCAGAAAGAAAGAAACCAGACTCAACTCAGCAACTGACTTTCACTGTGAATGATCACCTCAATATTATACCCCAAGAACCATCAGTGTCCAGATCCTACTGCTTCATCCCAAATTTTGAAATGAGACATGTAATCAATAAATAACCACAGGCCTGCCCTCTAACGCACTCCCCACAAGTGTGGGGTTAAGAGGAGGCACTGGCCCTGTGCCTTGAAACTCCACTGTGAGATGAACAGGCTGATTTCATAGCCAGTGAATGGTGCCAAGTGGCACACAGTGGCTTGCCTAAGCGGAGAGGCAGGGCAGGGGAGAGCTAGCAGCCAAGATGGGCAAAGAACCCAGGAGACCCGACTCGCAGGCTCCCCCACTAACCACCAGACTGGCACTCCCTTGCTAAATAGGAAAAGTTGTTCTCATTCACCAACTAGAAGCTCAAGGAAGCAACATAATTAGGGAGCACATAAATCGCTGGCCAGGATGCACACCGGCAAATTTCTAACTGGGCTGCAGTGCAAGAGATGGAGGTGGGGGAGAGTGCAGTGCCGAACTCCTGCTTCACCTGGTCTTTGACCAGCAGGGCCACACTGTAACCCTATGTTGGGTCAGCCACCAGCTGCCAACAGCAACACTGTGAACAGGCCATTAGTCAACTCTTGAGGAAAGACAAAGAAGCCTTAGAAGAGCATGGTGATAGGCTGTTCTTCCACCCAATGAGCAAGCTACATATTTAGAGGGGAGGAGGTGGTCCTAACACCTCATTTCTTTCTCTGACACCTAGGAAATCCACAGGCTAACTCAAGATTGTTTTATGAGTTTTGATTAAATAAGTGACTTACCACACATCACATTGTAAAGTTCAATGTTTTCAAATGGAGGCACTTTAGTCTTATACTTAAACGTTGGGCCATAACCTATAAAGACAGTCTTCCAAAGAAAAGAAAAGGAAAACATTAAACATGGTTAATGTCTCGTCCCAACCCCTCCTCTCCCCGTGCACACCAGGCAAGTTCCCACACCCCGTTCCTCCCAATGACACACTCAGTTCATGGTTCTGTGCTTATACCTGCATGCTGTTGAGCTTGTTATCAAAGCCGTGGTCTCCCTGGAGGTAACATTTTCCCGATGGTTTCTTAGAAACATCCATAGGCTTCCTGCATTGAAGCAGTCTTATCATTAGTCTGGATTTCTCACAGAACTAGCTCTGATAAAAACCAACCTCACGGCACAGAGTCTCTGAGAATTGAATTTTCAAAGTGTATTAATCTTCATTTTAATCGTATCACCCAAGTGATGGTGAAGGAGCTCCAGTGACCTAGCGGGTAGGGGGTGCCCTAATCCAAATGCAGGTGGTTCAAGTTCATCAGTTGCTACAAGGGAGAAAGATGGGAAATGTCCTCCCATGAGATTTATAGCTTCTGAAAACCCACTGCAAGGTCAACCATGACTTGGTTTTGACTGCATGCAAATGAGTAAGTTGAGTTTGAAATATGATGGGATAGCAATGCCGCTAATTTCTGAAGTTCTAGTTGCCTTTGCTCTGACAAATATACAAGGAAAAAATGAAACTTAGCAACAGAAGTCAAGGTGCCCAGCTGTACCTCACGCTTACCCTGAGCAGAAAAATCATCACAGGAAAAGTTCTGTCTGCCTATTTATTTCACAGGTTCAGAACCAATAATATTCTTGGGTTCTGGGGTCATATTTATCTGACTCCTTTAAACCCATTGCTAGGGATGGTGCCAAGTATATAGTAGCTGCTTCTTAAGTAATTTTTAACCAATGAATCAGTCTCTATCCCTGCAATGGCCATTGAGTTGACACCGACTCATAACTGAGCCTCATTGGGTTTCCAAGGCTGTAACTCAAGTGAGAGGAGACTGATCATCTTTCTCCTGATGATTCACTAGTAGATTCCAACCACCAGAGCAGTGTGATCTTTGGGTTCGCAAAGCAACTCCCTTGAGGTGAGGCCACCAGAGTAGATGATCAGTGCCTGGACATGTATTTTTTATATATAAAACTTTTTCACAGCTTCAGTTTGCTCGGCTCCACAGTCAACACTCCTGGCACCAGCAGCCAGGAAATCAAAAAACGTATTGCAGTGGGAAAGTCTGCTGTTAGGGACCCCTCTAAAGTACTCAAGAGCAACGGTGTCTCTTTGGAGACGAAGGTGTGCCTGATACAGGCCATGGTCTTTGCAATCACTTGTTATGCATCAGAAAGCTGGACAATGACTAGGGAGGACAGAAGGAGAATTGATGCCTTCGAGCTGTGATGCTGGAGAAGAGTACTGAATGCACCATGGACTGCCAAGAAAACAAACAGATTCATCCTAGAGAGGGTTAAACCAGGCTACTCCTCAGAGGCAAGGATTCTGGGGCTTTGTCTGACATACTTTGGACATGATGCAAGGAGAGACAGGTCTTTGGAGAGGGACATCATGCTTGGTAGGGTGGAGGGACAGCGCAGGAGGGGAAGACCCTCTATGAGGTGGATTGATTCAGTGACTGGGGTAATCGGGATGGGTGTGTCAGAGGCAATGCGATTGGCACAGGACAGAGCAGGGTTTAGGGCTGTTGTACACAGGGTCACTATGAGTCGCAAACGCCTCGACGGCACATAACAACAACAACATAAAGGAAAACCACGTCCTTAGAATAACCAATCGTATGAGATCAAAACAGCTGCTTTTGCCTAGGGAGAGGGCTGTCAAAGCAGGCGGAGATCAGAAAGCCGGACGGATGGAAATGGGGATCACAGGGAGGGCCTGGGAAGAGTGCTACTGCAATTTGAGGGCTGCAGTCAATGTAACGGATCTAAATGGGTCTGAATTGGTGAATGGAAAAACCAATTTCTTCTGTAGCCTTTCACTGAAATCACAGAAATAAAGTTGAAAGTTAAGTAAATCAAGGAACTACAGCTTCAAAATAGAATAGAATAAAATGCCTGCTGTTGCCGTACATGAATTTGCTCACCTGTCATCATCTTTCACGTAACTTCTACCCAAATTTTATGTTTTGTTCACATAAAACTACCAATTCTGTCCAGCATTGGGATTTTCTACCTTCCAAACGAGCTCATATATTAAAAAAACCTGAAGAGAACATTCTCAGCCAAGTTATATTGGTCACGGGCCATTCTGAAACTTTTCTCCAGTGATTCTCCATGTTATTCTAACCAATTCTGAGTTTTGGGGTTTTTTTCATTTCTCTCCATCACCCTACATACTTAACTTTTATGTATCATCCAATGCAGTTACAGGACGATATTTATACACTTGTCACAAGTGTTTTTCTAAGGCTTACATATGGATGCAAGCTCCTAATGGATCAAAATTTTCTCACTGCTTTTTCCTTGTCGCTCATTAAAATAACTAATGAGAACCCAGGCATTGGCTATTCAATTATGACTATGGGCTCATTTACAACACTTTCCTTAAAAAGAAAGTTGGATCAAGAGTGAGTGGGGAGGAACTATTACCAAATCTTCATGAAAATAAATTTTAATGATTAACTCTTAAGAGTGGTCAGAGCCTTTGGTCACATTTGATACCATATTCCAAAGGAGAAAAGAATCTCTTTGGCACTAAACACCATTGATGGCCTGATAGAATAGAACCTTTCATTACGTTTTCCCCCTTGAAATTCTTGGAGACTATTTTGGCGTTTTCAATAAGGTAAAAGATCTGAAATATTTAAGGCAAGGTAAAACACACCCACAAACCCACTGGTGAACAGACTGTTCTTAAGCAAAAGGTCTATTGATCTGCTTCCAAAGACCAGCCATTGGATGAAACCTGGTTCTACTGTGACACAGGTGGTGTTGCTACAAGTTGGAATGGATGTCATGGCAACTGATTTAAAACATGCCCACAATCATAAAAATTTTAAGTTGAACATTTCCTGAAGGCGTCTAGAAACATTTATAGGCAAGGTCTAGTGAACTGATATTAGACCAGCCTTGGGTATCAGAACAAGTTCTCAGCTACTCTTGTGACTTCATGAAGTAAGAACAGAGGGCAGGATGCAAATTCAAAAAACAAAAATGAAACACACATAGAGATGTGCTGAGATGCAACAAAGGGACAATGAAATGCACTGTCTCTCTGCTAATTGTTTCTCTAATATGCCAAACCTCTGAGAACAGATTTCTCACTGAGATTTTGTTGTTGTTCTGATTGCTAAAGACCTTCAAGCGCTCCAGTTTTTAAAGAGGCAGATGTGATGATAAGAAAGGGACAGCCAATGCCCAGGTTACCTTGCCACGTGCCATCTGCGCTCCACCAATAAATGGATGTCCTCAATTCTTCTGTTGTTGGCATAGTGCAAACGTTTGGGAAGGTGCTGTTTCAGATACGGCTTAAAGTGCTGGTCTGGTTTTTTACACTGAAATAGAAACAAGAAATGGACTTTGAAAAAGTCCTACTCATTCTCTCACCAGGTAGTTGAAAGAGATTTTTAAGCCAAACAAAAGGCTAGTTAGTGAAAAACAGGATATCTGTTATTTCTACATCAAAAATTACAAACTGCAAACAAGTAAGGTGACAAGAAGAGGAAACTGGCCTAAAACCTGGAGCAGGGAATGAGGAAACAGGACAGTGGGGCACATCTGATTCACAGAGAATAAAGATTGGTTGATTTGTGAATGACTCCTTTTCATTTCTAAAGGAAGGATCAAATCTTCTCTCAGTTCATGGCACTGCCAAGAACATGAGGGTGCATGCATCAGTCAAGAGGTCAAAAGTGTGAAAGCTCTTAGAGAGATAAGCACACCGGCTTCCAGGCAGAGGTGTTCTTCCCACCGCAGGAGAGCTGAACAAGGAAAGGGAGCAAACAGAAGTAGCACTACACGTAGAGACCTGGAGACAGGCGGCACAACTTACCGTGAGATTCGCCAGGATGGCTTTTGGGTCATCTGTCCAAAGAGAGAGGGAGAAGGGTTTCAAAAGAGATGACAAGAATTGTTGAGAATAATCACATTTTTTGGTAGCAAGACCCTCTCTGTTGGTGGTTTCTTTTGTCCTCTCCCAGAAGAGCAGTTACTTTATGTTTCATGTCAAATGGGAAGTGAAGGGACGTCAAATGCATGTGGGCTTGAACGTTTCAGAGTGGCGTGCAGCTGAGCAAGCGGACCAGCTCTGAGAGGACACGGACTGTCCAGCCGGAGCGGTCCTCCTCTTCGGGGAAGCCAGGCACTCCTTGCAGCACCCGGATCCTAACTGCAAATGAATTGTCTCTTTGTTGCCTCCAAATGGTCTCTCTAGACTTTATTTATTTACAGTTTAACCTCAGGAACTAAACTGGTCATCTGGGACACATCATGTCATTTCCCACTTCCCTGGAGATTTTTGAAGCAGGTTCTCAACTCTAAGGTGACTTTTTTCCTATCCACAGAGTTATTTAATTTTATGTTCATCTATTCCAAATGTTTTATTTCAGAGATGAGAAAGTTAAGGTCCAAGGAGCTGAGTGTTTGGGCTGGAAGCGCAAGTGTTTGGTTGTTTGTATATGATCACTCATCTACAATTGGGGTGGGGGGGTTGTTGGGTTTTTTGTTTGTTTGTTTTGGGGTTTTCAGGGTGTGTGTGTGTGTGTGTGTGTGTGTGTGTGTGTGTGTACCATAGAATTGGATCCAACTGGTATAGGAGGAGATTGCCCCTCCATCTCCAGTGGAGTATCTGGTGGATTTGAACAGTGCACCTTTGGGATTGCAGCACAGCTTCTTTCTTATCACTAGGCCACTAGAGCAGACTTACATTGTGTTTTGTACATGTACTTTGTGTTTTATACAATCACTCATATACATTATATTTTATAAAATTAATTACCATTGCTGTGTTTTGTA